ACGCGAGCGGATACGGGGAGCAACCAGAGGACCGTTCGATGTTGTGGGGACAACAGGCGAGGCGGAGTTTGTCTTCTGAAGCTTTTCCGGCACAGGTGACGGTTCTCGCGGATCTAACAAGGACGCGGAGGTCGATACATCCGACTGGGAGAGAAAGTACGACTCCAAGGGACTAAGGTACGGCTTCGTATCCGAATCCCCACGGTCTTCTTCACGTCGTTTCTGAGCAATCATTTCCACGGCGCGCATCAACGCGTGGAGTTCAGGCCCACCCTCCAGATCAGAGTTGTATGTCTGCTCTGCCGCAGGTGGGCCCGGCCCAATCTGCAGCTCTGACTCCGAGAGCGCACCAGCTTCCCGGCGAGAATATCGCGCGTCTCCTGCGACAGCAACAACAGCCTCTGCCCATCTCGCGCCATCCTCGTCGTCAGTTGTGTCGATGGAGGCCAGAATTTCAGGATCGACCACTACCGCTCCGATTCTGCGGCCTCGGCCGGATTTCTCTGCTTCCTCTGCGACTTTCTCGGCCAGCGCCAAATAATATCCCGCTTCAGGTTGGATGGATTCGCGCGCACGGTTCAGAATTTGCGGCGGCGGCGCTATCGTGGCTCGAGGGGCGGCGGGGTTGTAGACAACGGGCCAGTATGCCGAGGTCCAATTCTCGGCTTGTTTTGCATTCAAGGGCGGCTGAGTAGGGATCCTGATTGTATGCAGGGAAATCGCAGGCGTGGTTTCAGGCTGCTTTTCTGAAGAGGTCGAGGAGGTGGGGGCAAATGGCGCAAGCACTTTTTGGAGAGCATCAACTTCCGGGAGAGGAGGCGAGACTAGGACAAAGATTGTCTGCGGGGAGGATTCATTGTGCTGGACGGCTGTGCGCAAGGATTCCGGCAATTGGGAATGTTTGGCGAATCGTCGGAGATGGTTCACAGGGACAGTAGGGTCGCGAGGGAAAGCAGCGTCAAGTGCTCTTTACAACTATCGTTAGTCACGGCCTGTCTGCGTCCTTTGAAGTAGAATGTCTTACTTGACCACTTTCGAGGCCAGCTTCACGTTGACTTCAGCTGCATATGCATCCTCTAAAGCCCGTCAGACATTGATTGTTTCTAGAGAATTGTGGCTGTTCAGATGCACATACCAAACTCTTCAGTCGTCTGTGTTTCCTGGACGGTCTTGATCGGCAATACCTGTCCCTGGAGAGGCTCGATACCCTTCAGGATGTCTCGTACCTCCATTGACGCCCGTCTCCGCTGCCGGGATGAACACTATCTCGGCGTGAAAGTACTATGACACGCTCTCGACCGCCAAAGCTCATGCACAATTGATAGAACAACCCTCAGTGCGATCTTGAAGTATCTATGGCAACCGCCGATCCATTATGACTTCATGGCTTGGATTATAGTCGTTGAGTTGCCGCTCTCCATGGATCCGCATTTGTCCCGACCGGAACCCTATCCCCTAAGCCCTAAGCCCTATCCCCCAAGCCCGCAGTAACTGCTTTGGGATGAACACCTCAGGCAACATCAGAGTTTTCGGAGAGACTCAATCTGTCTGTTGTTAGTCCTTTTGCAACTGGCGTCTAGGAACGAATCTATGACATAATGCTACCGGACTACAAGAACGAATGTAAGATATAATACGTACGGGGCTGAAATTGGATCAAGATATTAAGGGAGTATGATATTCCACACGCTAGTAACAATCGAACGCCAGAAACATATAGCATTAAGCTGTACAGAGATCACGACCAGGTAGGCCACAAGGTCGTAGAAACATGAGAAGATGATAACAAGGTTAACGAAGAGTCCTAGGCATTAAGCACCAGAATGAGAAATCCTCCCATGTCGCCCGTTAATGCATAACAAGATCAACTCCGTGCCCCGCTTTAGATGTATGGTATGGAGAAATACAATACAACAGTTTGGTGATATGATGGTCCACCTATGAAAAGGAGGATAACCAGCCCTGGAATCCAGCTGGCTGCTGCTTCGATGAAGTGGAAGTACTCAGCCGTCACGCTTGATTTCGTACCCGTCGCACCTCTCGACGAGACTTTGATAGTAATCAACCAGCACTTCTGGCTGGGGTACAATTCGCCACTCTACGCGGAATAGGAACTCTAACTCCAGGAGTGCCAATTCCGCCATGCTGATACCTCCGACACGAGCATACGTCTTGTTAGTCCAGAAACTGTCACTGAGACCTTTACTGGCGACGGTAGCACTAGTAATAAGGAATCGGTGAATAGTCAGACTGGAGACGGTAAAGGCCGGATAGAGAGCGCAGAGCCGATCAATGTAGTATACCATGCTGAGCAAGATCGGAGGGGACAAGGTGGCGTGAGTTGTAAGCCGTTGAAGATAATCTTGGACTGAGATCCGAGGTGGTGATCGAGAATGAAAACGCGTCAGCCGTCCGTTATGCAGCGGTATCTTGTCGTTGAAGCGAATCAGCTCCATCAGCATGCTAGATATTAGAATGACAAGGTCCCGCGGATCAGCCTGATCATAATTCTCCGGCAGATATTTCACGTCGGGCTTGGATGGCCGCAGCCGTTTGGACTGGCTGCGATCCAGGTCCAAGTCCCCGGAGCGTTCCGCAAGCGAGGCGTCCACGCCATGATCATTCGGGCTGTTACGCTTGTTGGAGGCCGGCATTGGAGGCGCCACGGAAGGGGCAGTAGCCGGGGCCGGGGCCGGGGCCGACGCTGCGACTGGAGGAGCACCGACAGGCTCAGTGTCCGTCGGACGACCAGAGGAAAGCGGAGGATTGGCAAGCGCATCGACCGCAAAAGCCGGAGTGCCGGACGAATACGTGCTGTTTCCGCCCCCAAGGGTGGTCAGCCCGGCGGACATGCGGCCGCGAGGGAGATCCCCTGAGGGCCCCGGAGGCGAAGCGTCAACCGTATGTCGTGTTAAGGCCGATCGAAGCTCCTCGATGGCCAGGCGGGAAGAACGCGGACTGAAGTGACTACTGGACGCAGGAGGGTGACGAGCAGGCTCATAATGATGGCGAAGATTATGAGCTGCTGTTGCGGCGGCGACGGCGGCAGTCGTGGACCGATGAGAAAATGAGGGAGAGGAGAGAGAGGGATGAGAATGCGTCGGAGGAGAAGAGGAGGAAGGATGAAAGGCGGCGGACGGAGAGGGCGATGAGGCTAGCATGATTTCCGCCCAACGAGACCACCACGTGGGCGGATGATTGCACGACGTGCAGTGGAGCTGGCAGACGCTGCGAAACCTTGTGCTGCTGCTGCTAGGGACGACGGCGTGCACAGACGCATCGTGATTTACGAGTTCAGACTCTTTTGAACAAAGAGACTGAAGTCTGAGGGGAGGGGTTTTGAAGGGGGAGAATGTCCTTGGAAACCCGGATGATGATGATGGTGATAGGATAGGTTAGTGTGTCAGTGAGTGTAGAAGTTTTACAGAAGAAAGGAAAAGGAGGGGAACACGGGACTTGGTTCCAAGAAAAAGGACAAAAAAAAAGAAAAAAAGAAAAATGAAGTCAATTACATTACGAAGCCCTTCCCCTCTCTATGAAAACAAGGAAAAAGGAGAAGGCAAAAGCCAAGGGACGATGAAAAGTGAGACCAATTCCGCCCAATTGAACGCGGTCTGGGAGCGCCTGAGCGGAGAGGTTGGAGTCTCGTACGGATACAGGCTTACAGTTACAGCTGCTTACGAAGATCGGCATGTTGAGCCGGTCGAATTTTACCAGCCGTACTCCACCTACTTGGGGGTAGATTCTTCGACAGGATTGATTCTTGTTCTCGGAGAACTGCTGTACTCTGCTGATAGATACTGCTAGCCTACTGGGTAGGCAGTAGATAGCTATGACCCTATATAGGATGCTTTGCTTGGAGATCATACACAGCCTCATAGGTCACATGGATTGCCTCAAATACTCTTGAGCCCTCAAGGTACCTAGGTACTCTCAGTAGGTCATTGTAGTATCACTTATGATTTAACCATTAACCATGGCTGAGGACGCCACTCCCTTGATAAAATCTACTAACATACTCCATACTCCATACACATATATGAGAAAAGCAAAGGAGCAAGAACAGCATTGAAAAACTACAAAATTCTCTTCTGTACGGAGTAATACGATGTGTTTATGGGCGAGTGAGTGGATGTTTAAACTACCTTAGGCACCTGCAATAGGTATACTCCGTACATAAATTACCATGATACTAAGGTACAGTAGGTACCTCCATTACTTTGTCCGGCACCTGATGTAGTGTGTAATACAATTTCTGTTCCACTTTGATCCACTAGGGCTGAATCATGTGATGTACTCTTGATTATATAATAATACTCGAATGGCACATGACGCACCCATCAGGTGACTTGACAGTCAGGTGATGTCACATGGGCCCTTGTTCCGGAAGCAGATCATAGATGGCACTGTGGGATAGGATAGCTAGAGAATAATAGGGCTGGGACATAGGTAAGCAACTACCTATGTAGATGGAAAGGTACCTAGTAAGACTGCTGTAAGACTGCTGTAAGCCTGTAAGTGCTCCAAGTGGTACCCCATATTCCGATCGGTTACTCCGTACCGCCAAGCTCTCCCCGACTTCAGCGACATCTGCTGCTTGGGAATGGTCTAGAAAGATTGTCCATTGATGAGGCTTCACTTGTCATCGCAATTTGAGGCTCGTACATACTTATCTCTTTTTCCTCCGTTTTCTTTCTGCCTTTCGAAGCGAATCCTATTTCAATAGACTTTTTACTGATTCGATTGATACACTCTTGCCATTCATCTCATCTAGCTCTATCTTTATTCATTGCTAGCTCCCTGCATCAGACCCCCCTCCTGGACCTCCACTCCGGCTTCCGTCGCCTTGACTCCACATGAGCAAAGTATCGATCAGCCATTGATCTTCTGATAGCAGCGCTCTTCGGCTTGTTGCATCAAGTCGGCCCCGTCCCATTGTCGGTTGTCGTCAAAGAAGTCAAACGGATTCGTCTGGCGGCGGCGGCGGCGATCTTACCACTATGACGCGCACTTCTACACCTCCAACCCTACTCCAACTCCAAAGCGCAGAATCGCTGTCATCTCAAGGTGCACTACTTCGTAGCCTGAAGAACGAAACAATTGGCCATGATCAACGCAAGGAGATTTATATCAAGCGGGGAATCATTCCGGCTCTCACCAAGGTTCTCACGTCACGGAAACTGAGCGGGAAGAGCGTTGCGGCTACGGTTAAAGAATCGTCTGGCATCAAGTCGGAGGAAGACGAGGCTTGTCTTCAGGCGATAATCATCCTTGGTAGCTTGGCTCAAGGTAAATGTCTAGCGATTTGTCCCATCAGCGCAAGTAGTGGTCACCATTACTGAGATCCTAATAAATCAGGCGGCCCAGCGTTCCTCGCGCCCATCCTCGCTGGCAATATACTTCCGACCCTCCTGTCTTTCCTGTCGTCTCCCAACTGTCCTTCCTTCTATCGCCTTCCCATCCTCCGAACACTCAATAGCATTGCAGATCGACTACCATTGCAAAGTCAACAGAAACTGCACAAGGATACGCGCTTGGCAGAACTGCTCTTTTCTAAGGAGCATGTTGGATGCTTGGCTCAGATCATCGGGCAAGACTATACGTCTTATCAGGCACAGGCTTCCATTGAATTGGCTGCATCGTTGATTGGGAAGCTGTGCACCGAGGAGGCCCACAAGACTGTCCTGGCCGACTCGGGGGTGTTGGATGCTCTTGCTGTCAAGGTCGCCTCGTTTGTAGTTGCCCAGGGATTCGTTCTGCCCGGCGCAGAGGAGCATGTCCAGGAGCCGAGCGCACTGGGATCCTTGCCCCCTCCAGCACCTTCAAGTGCCAAGCTAGCTCCAATCCTTCGCGCGGTCACAGTGATCATCGAGCACTCCAAGTGGCGAGCTGAGCATTTCCTTTCCTCGCCCGGCATTGTGACTGTTTTCCCCAAGCAGTTGCCCGAATTCGCTCCCTCGGACATCAAAAAGGGTCCCTGGGGGTCAACATATTTCTCCGGTTCTGCGGTGCCACGACATGCCGGGATTAGCCCACTCGAGAGTCTGCTGCCATCGGTTCCATCATCTCCCTCGACAACACCGGCAAATGCAGCCAATTTCCCCCCTTTAGGTCACCAAGGTGCGCGCCGTCGTCCCAGCCACTCGTTCCCCTCATCCTTCTCGCTTTTTGAGTCGACATCTTCCGAGGAGGATGAGAATTGCATCATCCCCTGGCTCCTTTACATGGTTCGCGCGGAGAACGGCATGGTTCGGTTGATGGCAGCTCGCCTCGTCACCGTTCTTTTCCGCCTTGGCCTGGCCAAGAAGCATCGCGTCTCCCTGCTTTCCTACCTGTTGATCCCGATCCTTATCCGAATGCTCGACAAGGACTATGAAATACCGGACGATGACAGTGTCGAATACGGCGGCCTCATCCCCGCAACCGCGCGTCTTAAGGAGGAAGCCCCTGCAGTACTCGCAGCTCTGGTGATTGACGATCAGGAATTGCAAAAACACGCCGTCGAGGGAGGCGCGATTAAGCGGTTATCGCAATTACTGAAGGAGTCCTACAACCCGATTCACGAGAATACCAAGCCAATGTGGCACCCAGACGCCGACGAGACTGCTCCAATTTCCGATGCGCAGCCAGTAGAATGTAGACTCGGTCCTCCCGGGTTCTCGCCAGCTCACTGCCATGTCATGCGATATCGTGAGAATATTCTGAAGGCACTTGCAGCTCTCGTTCCTTTCAAGGATGAATATCGCAAGCTCGTGTGCGAGAATGGAGTGGTGCCGTACATCATCGATTCTCTCAAGCCTTGCCCTAGCGAGCTGCCAGTGGACATACCGAGTCCCAAGAACACTGCCACGGATGGCAATCCAACTCCGACTCTCTTGGCCGCTTGTGGTGCTGCGCGAATGCTCACTCGTTCCGTTAGCGTCTTGAGAACAAGTTTGATTGATGCTGGTGTTGCAGCTCCTCTTTTTGTTCTGATCCGACATCCTGATATAGAAGTGCAGATTGCTGCAACGTCGGTTATCTGCAATCTGGCATTGGATTTTAGTCCAATGAAAGAGGTCAGTCCTTATTCCCTTAGGGCTGTCGCTAGATTTCGACATGCAACTGACCCTAGTAGGCAATCATCTCAGCCGATATTCTACCGGTGCTATGCGAGCACGCGCACTCGCCGAACACAAAGCTTCGTATCGAGTCATTGTGGGCACTGAAACATGTCGCCTACAATTCCGCCAACGATGTTAAGATCAAGATTATTGACGGCCTTGGGCCTGGGTGGATCAAGCAGATTATTACGCAGGACCCTACTAGTGCCCTTGCGAAACGGGGAATGGAAGGCGAGGTGGACAGCAGTGCGGCGGTGGGTATGAGCCGAGCCAATTCGGCTGGGGAACAAGTCGACCTGTTGAACCCGGTTGAGGATCCCCAAAGCCGGGGCGAAGATCTCAAAATGACCGACACCCTGCCTGCGTCCAAGATGAGCCTGGAGATGTTTTTGCCGGATGCGACTAGGCGGCGAAAGCTCGTGTTGAATGGAGATTTGGACCAGACCACACAGGCTCGGCAGGATGATATCGCGGTGCAGGAGCAGACTTTTGACTTACTACGTAATCTTGTATGTGGGACAGGAGCGTCGGAGATGATTGACCACATCTTCAAGGAGATTGGGCAGGACCTCATCCTCGACGCGCTGGCGGACAAGCTTAAACCTCGCACCATCAATCTCCCACACCGGCGGGAATCCTCAGCCAGTCGTGCACTCAACGTTCCCACCGAGATTCTGATCTCGGTCACGTTTGTCATCATCCATCTTGCCGCGAGCCTTCCATGGCATCGGCAAGTCTTGGTGTCCCATCCCACCCTTCTGCAACATCTCATGTGGTACTTTAACCACAGTCACCGGGACGTGCGTATCAACTGTGTTTGGGTTGTCATCAATCTTGCATACGAAGACGACGTGAGTGACCGGGATGGCTGTCGCGAGCGAGCCTTGAAGCTACGGTCCCTTGGCGTAATGGAACGGTTGACTAGCCTCCTCGATGACCCCGACCTTGATGTGCGAGAACGCACAAAAACGGCAGAGCACTTGATAAGTTCTTTGACCCATGCATAGCGATTGTATGTATTACTTGATTGTTTCGTTGCAAGTGTTTTGTTGTAGCATGGGCATTGCTCGGAGACTGGATACGGGGTTCTTGACATGGGTGGGCGTTGGAACGATTGTATAATTGCATCATCTACAAAATGGTATTTGTCTTCAACTGCAGCTGCTTGGTATATGAACGTTAATATCGAGATATACCTCCAGTACTCTGTGCATACAATGTTGCACGCGTGGCTTATCTTATCGGCTTGTGGTGGGGATTCGATGATCCTACGACGTCATATCATCATTTGACTGTCTACCTGAACCTATTTGTGTCTGCTCTCTCTCTCTTTCTCTCTCTCTCTCTCTCTCTCTGCTCACATGAAAGAAGGTCTCGTAACATGGCACCAGTACCGGCCTCAATTCTGCGTGCTCTCTCCCTTTCCGATGCCACCAAGGCCAGCCTGTCAACCGCAGGCTTAGGCTCCGGCTTCACCAGCACCGGGGCGATTCGAGCCACCGTCCCCACCGCCGATGGGACAGGCGAGGAAGAGCGACGGTACTTCGTCAAGACGTCAGCCGACGGCAAGGCTGCTGAGGAGATGTTCCACGGCGAGTACGAGTCTCTCAACGCAATCGCACACTCGGTGCCGGGGTTCTGCCCTCGAGCACTAGCCTGGGGTCCGCTGGCTGAAGCAGACGAGGACGACAGCAAGCCCAAGAGCTTCTTTCTCGCGACCGAATTCCTCGAGTTAGGCGCCGGCGCCGGCGGCCGGCGGACGGGCGAGTCTCTCGCGCAGCGTCTGGGCAAGCTACACTCCACGCCCGCACCGGCGGATCCCGAGACGGGCAGGCGGCGGTTTGGGTTCCCCGTTGCGACGTTCTGCGGGGACACGAAGCAGCCGAATCGATGGCGAGACTCGTGGGCGGAGTTTTACGCGCAGGAGCGGCTGCTGACGGTCCTCGAGACGTCGGAGAAGCGGAATGGCAAGGATGCGGGCTTGCGGGAGATGGTGGAGCGGACGGTGCGCGGTGTGGTGCCGGCGCTCCTGGGGGATGGACATCTGGGTTACGACCGGGATGGGAACGGGGAGGGGATCACGCCGGTGGTTGTGCATGGGGATCTGTGGAGTGGGAATGCGGACCGGGGACGGATCGTCGGCAGTGGGCGCAAGGAGGACGAGGAGGTGGGCGAGGTTGTCTATGATCCGTCGGCGTGCTATGCGCACAGCGAGTATGAGCTGGGGATCATGAAGATGTTTGGGGGGTTTGGGTCGGCGTTCTTCGAGGCCTATCATCGCATTGTGCCCAAGACCGAGCCGGTGGAGGAGTATGAGGACCGGGTGAGGTTGTACGAGCTGTGAGTGTGCCTTGCTTTGCATGATACGGGAGCTTTGGCTGACTTTGAAAGGTACCATCACCTGAACCATCATGCCATCTTTGGGGCTGGATATCGATCCGGTGCTGTATCGATTATGCAGAAGCTTCTTAAGAAATACGGCGATTAGTTTGAGCCTTGATTTTATCTCCCGACTCTCAATATATGAAAGTAGATCTGATGAGATTTATGATCTTATCTATCAGCCATACTCGAAAGTATCTTAGAGCTCTCATTGATCCGGCTGAATTATCTGTGGAGGGTTTGATTTACCAATACCTTGGCCACTTCGAGATCTCTCGCCGAATCCAACAGGGACAAATCTTTGTTGGACTAATAAGTGAGTAAACTTGATGCACAACAGAATATCGTCAATGGCATCATATCTGAGTCAGCAGATCTCCATCAGGGAATTAACAAAAATATAAGATCTAATGCTGTGTCCCTGTCCCGAACACAAGCCACAACACATCTTCATAATCTTGAAAATACTTGGACCCTGGTAGAAGTTCTCAAGTCGGCTACGATGCCTTCCATTCCAGACGCAGAGCTCTACCCCGAAGCCAGTGGACCAGCAAAAGCGCTGGTCGACAGGCATAGGGCGGAGCAGCCTTTGAAGCTCTATGGGGGGTGGTTTTGTCCGTGAGTTCATCATCATCACCATCTCACTTTCACTGTACTGATGCGGATTATCAACCAGGTTTGGTACGCACCAGCGTAGAATGAGCGATTCTGTTGATAAATTGCCAGCTAACCTTTGCAGTCCAACGTGTCTGGCTCGCTCTAGAAGAGAAGCAGATCCCTTACCAATACATTGAGGTCAATCCCTATCACAAACCACAATCACTTTTGTCCCTGAACCCTCGCGGGTTAGTCCCAACTCTGGCTTGTCCTACAGGACAGAGTGATGGCAAAGGTGTCAAACTCAAGCCACTCTACGAGTCGAACATCATCCTCGAATACCTCGAGGAAGCTTACCCCGACCATCAACCGCGTCTGCTTCCTACAGACCCCTACGAGAAAGCCCGCGCCCGAATCTGGATGGATTTTGTAACGTCCCGCGTGATCCCCGCGTTCCATCACTTTCTGCAGTACCAGCCTCAGTCAAGAGACCAAGACGTGGCTACTGAGATTGACAAGGTCCGCCAGGAGTTTCTGGGCCGTCTGAAAGAGTGGACGAAGGAGATGCATCCTGACGGGCCATTCTTCTTAGGGGATCAGATATCAATGCCTGACCTTGTGCTGGGCCCGTGGGCGGTGCGGCTCTGGGTGTTTGATGAGTTCAAGACAGGCGGTCTTGGGATTCCTGCCGAGGGTAAGGGGGAAGCGGATGAGGCTGTCTGGCAGCGATGGAGGACATGGCTCCGTGCAATAGAGGGCAGAAGAAGTATAAGGGAGACAATCAGTGAGAGGAATCATTACCTACCCATCTATCAGCGCTATGCAGACAATACTGCCCAGAGTGAGCTGGCAAAGGCTACAAGAGCTGGAAGGGGAGTACCATGAGGACCCAACCATTTGTGTAGCTTTTTGATTTATGTATGTAGGCTAGACTCTATCTACTATGTGTTGAAGGACCCTAGTCACCCTACTGTGGATATGCAAACAAGCGCGGAATAACCTGTGAGCCGCTCACGTGATACTCCGCCAATCATGCGCCGCCAAAGATTCAATCGCATCCATCGCGCATCATCCTAGGTACATTTACCTGTCGTATCTTCTCTACCTGGCAAGACAAGAAGCTCCCGCCACCAGCATCACAGGATGGCTTCGGAGAAGACGGATGACCCGATACAGCCGGCTGGAACAGACCCATCCCTGCCGGAACCCCCTGCCATCCATCCATCTTTCATCCAGGTAGCCAAGCCTTATATCTTTGAACAGACGATTCAGAAATGTATCGCGGCCATGGGGGTCAATCCTCTGCGCGAGGAAGCTCTGCGCTTGCAGGGGGTGACATGGATCGATAACGTTCGCCGAGTGCTCTATCTGTACGTCTGAATGCTTGAATTGCAAAGGGAACATCGCTTTGAGCAAGAACCATTGCTGACTCGACAGGCCTATTCGCACCTTCAACACCGCTGTGGTCTATTATCATAAGTTTCGCCTTATTCACCCCGACACAGAGTACAATTATATGGTAGTCGCACCCTGCTTTAGTCTGCTGTGTGACTAAGCTGACTTGACTGCTCAGGATGCCGCTGCGGCTGCTCTATTCACGGCATGCAAGATTGAGGACACCCTTAAGAAGTCCCGGGAGATTGTATGTGCTGCGTACAATCTGAAGCTACCTCCATCAGAGCACATGGCTCCTGACAACCCCGTGGGTTCTCATCGTCTCTCTCGCAATTCAGGCTCGACTAACCTAGTTCTCATAGGTCTTCGAAGCGCATGCTCGAGGTATCATCGGCCTCGAGAGGCTCATGCTCGAAGCGTCTGGCTTCGACTTCCGAACCCGTCATCCACAGAAGACTTTGGTCAAACTAGCCAAACACTATGGCTTGTCGCCGCGATCCGAGGTCTCCAATCTCGCCTACCGCATCTCGCAGGATCTCTATCGAACCTTTGCCCCCATCAAGCAGACCACCTCCACCATGGCCTTTTGCTGTCTCGAACTTGCGGGTCGCCTGCTCGACCGGCGTCTGGAGCCCGTGGAGCAGGGGACAGATTACGAGCAATGGAGGACGAGCCGTGAAGAAGTAATGGGTAGGTCTCCATTGCAATGTCCATTTCCCTTTCGCTTTCTCTCTACCCTATCGGACAGCAACAAATGCTGACAAAAGACTAGAAACTCTCTTCGACCTGCTCGAGTTATACACACACAACCGCAGCTCGACCACCGTCGGCCCGCATTTCCCACCCGATAGATTCCTCACAGTCCGCATTCCGCTGAACAAAGAAGCAGAGGCCCAGAGATTACCTCGGTACACGCACTGGGTCGAAGACAGCAGAGATACCAAGCCTACCAATGGCGCCAGAGACGGCAGGGATCGCACCGCGCCAAAAGATAGAGACAGGGGAGCCGCACCCGCGCTGCACCCGCTCACCCCTGTCGCTGCCAACGAGGAGAGACCCAAGGCCGGGGAACGAGGCCGAGACGGCGCCGTGCGCTTCATGCTCGATCCGGAGTGCGCAGAGGCCGAGAAGGCGCGCGTCGCCGAGTACTTCAAGATCGAGATGGAGGAGTACGAGGTTGAAGAATGAATGGGCTTTGGACATGAAATCACCAGATCACTCTAACAAAGCGGCATGTCCAGCCTGTCTTCACGTAACCCGCTGCCGTTCTAGCACCATTCTCAGAGGCTCGACAGCTGGGTTCAAGTCTTCTGGCAGCTGCGCCTTCACGCTGGCGACGATGGATTTGTTGGCCCGCCTGCTGCCAGAGTCCCGATTTAAGCGGCACACAGCACGCTTGGTGATCGGTCAACATGACGCGGCTGAACTCTGAATGCGCAGCGTCATGCCTTCAGTGATGAGCTGGGCGCCGCTCTTAAACCCCCCAATGTCGAGGACCCAGCCAGATACTCCTTGACGATGTATGACTGAAAGCCTCGCAAGTGATGTTTCAGAAGGCGTACGACATCTCACGATACGATCGCTACAGAAGAATAGCTACCTTGCACATTCTGTCGCATTATATGTCAAATGACAATCTATTTAGGTAGATAGGTACCTAACCACTCAAGTGAAAGCTATATATGATGGGACTTTACACCCTGCATCAGGCGCTTGGCCCAATCCACCTCTAGGCGGAACTTCAGAGGATGTAAAGAAAAAAGAAGAATCCAGGCTGACCAACGTGTTTTTCCCCGACTGAGCCAGGCACCCGACCGTCCTTTCCTGACTTGTATACACCAACAACCCAATGCGATGACAAGAAATTACAGCGAGAAGATAGAAAGATTAGAAAGCGAGGCATAGAAGCCGAACATGTTCATCAAGGACCCCAGGCACGAAAAAGAATATGGTCATTAGCGAGTAATTTTCAACGGCGTTTCAACTCGGCGTTAAGGCAATCCAGGATCTGTAGGATTTGTGAGCAGGTAGACCCAAGGTGAAACTTCTGAACCAGAAATAATTGAACATACCGTCTCAGAAATGGTCCCCTGGTTGTAGAGGTATTTGCCCAAACCGCGAACCACCTCAAACTGCTCGTCGACTGTGAGACCGTTGATGGCAGCCTCGATAATATCCCCCACACTGGCCTTGTACACAGCAATGAAGCTGTGGTAATACATGTAGGCGAAGAAGCCCATGATGAACTGGCAGTCCATGCGGTCGGTGATACCGCCGTGACCCGGAATGGATTCTCCGAAATCCTTGATCTTGAAGGTGCGCTTGAGGCCCGATGCGAAGAAACCACCAAAAGGCGCAATGAGAGAGGCAAAGGTAGCAAACACCAAGATGTGGAACTGCATAGGCTCAACATAGAAGGTCTTGGCCAAGCCAGTCCATTCCGGGAGAGAATAGGGCTGAGGCACAAAGACAGGGTTGGGGGTGCATTGCAGTCCAGTCAGGACGTTAGCTCCCAAGTCGTTGACCGGGCAGATGAAGTACTTGTAGCGCATCAGGATGTTGGTCATGAAATAGCCGAAAATAATGGTGCAAATCCATGCACCGATGAAACCCTCAACAGTCTTCTTGGGCGACAGCTGGATCAGCTGAGTGCGACCAAAGGTGATACCACACACGTAGGCGAAGATGTCGTTTGTAATGACCAGCGAGGCCGGGAGGAAGAACCAGATCATGCCCTCGAAGACATTGTTCATGACAAAGTGCGCTTGGACGACGATCAGGTACAGTGCCATATGCGTCCAGGCGAACTGGGTGAATTGGAAACGATAGTGACCTTTTTGCAGCGATGCGACGAAGAAGACGAAACCTGGAAGTGGATAGTATCAGCGACTGGTCCGATCTTGTAGAATGAGCGATTGAACTCACCCATGACATAGAGCGTAAAGCTGATAAAACGATGGTGAGTCGCCAGAGGAAGCAATCCTTTTTCAACTAGGAGGATATGCTTGAAATAGTAGATCACGCTTTCTCCATACAAGAAGTACATGGTCGTGGCCAGGAAATACCAGTTGAGCGACTTCGTAAACCGGATGTTCTTCTCCCTGCTGGGTACATTGGCAATGGCAATGACTTCCTTGAACGAGACGATCTGGATTGCGGTGACGATGCCGATGATGTAAATGTGGCCCGAAAACATGGCAATGAAGAAGAGGGAAATCATCACAAAGGTCCATATTGTCCGAGTGATGAAAGTCTGCTTCTTCTTCTCATATTCGGACAATTGAGGCTGTTCCTGTTTCTGTACGAGCATGTCAGCCTTCCCTCGCCAAACGATCAAACCAAGTCTCCATTCTCAGGGCCTCACCTCTTCGGGAATCGTTGCGGGTTTCGAGACATTGCCATTCTTCGACGGACTCCCAGGGTCGGAGGCCACATCACTGGCATCTGATATGCTCATCCGACGATTCTCAGATCCATTGTTTGCTCGGTGTTGAAACCGGACGTTCCGGCGTGACTTGGACATGGTAGAGTAAGGGTGCAAGGCAGCAAAGAAAAGGAAGAAACCGCTTCTCAGGGCGACTACGCGCGGGGGGAGCAGGCGAGATCGCGGGGAAATCTCAGGGGATCTGAGACTGGGGGCCTAAAGACACGAAATGGGGCCCGAACAAGGGTGGAAGATGGAGAATCAGAAAAAAAAAAGGAATCCTTAGGGACACGGCGAGTGAGGAGGGATTATTGGGACCGATCGTCGACTCTGATTACTAGTGAATTTTCATGTGAAGTAGCGACCGAAAGCGGTCGGAAGGAGACACGAGGCGATGCGAGAAGAGCTTCAAGAGGACCGCAGAGCGAAGAATTCCAAAACTAAATCGAAGCCATTCGACCTGGGGTTGATCAATTTGATGGCAGAAGGATGATCAAGCAGAAGAGAATTGATTAAGAGAGTAGAGAGAGAAGATGGAGCTCTGGTGGAAGAGAGGATGAGGAACAACTTCCCGTGACCGTGCACTACGTCAGGCCTTCGTCCTTCTTTCTTTTCCTTTTCTTGGTTCCTGGGGAATCATAACGCTTTTTTCGGTAACTAAACAAAACACAACAAAAGAAACTGATCTGTGCTCTTTTCTCAAGAATATTCGAGCAAATCATTTTTGATTCATGGCGACCTCGTGTAGTGGGTTATGGAAGACAAGGACGATGACTTCTTCTCGGATGACGGCTTCGAGGATCTGCCTCCCAGTACATTATTGCAGCTGGAACAGAACGCGTATCTAGCTACACAGGCGCAACGACCAGCGCAACCAGAATCTTCTATTTACACGGCTCCTTCTCATGCGCAAGTCAATCGACCGGTGCCAGACTCGGCAATCAACAATCGACCCTTTCGAGTTGCAGAGTCCCGGTCAATCCCTCTCAATGCCACGTTGAAACCACCTGCGCGTCTACACACCGGTCTGACGAACGATTACGATTCTCTGGATGTGGGTGAATTGGATGCGGAGGTGCTCGATGATGATACTGGATTGCCTGTTGCGCTGGATCAGCCACCTGCTTCGGCAGGACAGGCTGTTCCTCTACACAACGAGTCCGCCTTAGAGCCTATGGACATTGAAGGCGCACTGGAGAATCCGTATCAAGCAAATATGTATGAGTCTTACAATGCGCTTGAGGAGAAGGTATCTGTTGTGGAAGCGTCTGCAGTGCCATGCTTTTTGCTAATATGGCTTACAGTTGCGTTTAGAGGATGAACGACTCAAACAGATGACAGAAGAGCTGGCCGCTGCCAGATCGCTGGCCGAGACGAAAGCGGGAGAGATTGCCATCATCCGATCGAACCAAGTGAAATTGGTCGAGAACTATGATCGACAACTGGCTGCGTTGCGCAAGGCCATGGCGGAGGAGACAGCCAAGCATAAGGAGGAGGTAGAGGCAGCTCGAGCCGAAGGCAAGCTGCTGGCCACAGAAAATGCGTTTCTCAAGCAAGACCTAGCCGAAGAGACCATGCGAATCAACAATATGAAGGCAAAGAGCAGGGTGGAGGACAAACCGCCGCCCGTGACGCCCAAGAAGACCAGGGTACTTCCTTTTCGCGATGGATTCGACGATGATGAAATCATGGCGATTTCGCCGAGCAAGTCCACGAAATCGAAGCGGACGACTCCCACGGGCCCTGGGAAGAAGAAAAGGAAGCTAGACCCGGGCAGTCCGACACCTCTGCCATTAAGTCAACCGGCAGAGCCCGTAGCTGAGCCGCCTGAGGATCTATTGGACGATGCGATGATAGACGATGCGATGGTCGATGAGCTGGTCCCGCGGAAAGAGGACCGGAATGCACAGCTCATGAAATCCATCCTCAATCACAAAACGTATCCCAACGAAGAATGCGATATCGAGGTATTATCGCAACTGGCGTTTCCCTCGGACCCGCGACGGAAGCTGTCTACCATCGTCCTGGAGGAGACCGCAAAATTACACTCCGGCAACTATGTGGTGGAATATGCGCAAGTCATTGCTTCGCTATGGTCCCGGGCCCTACAGGAGAAGTTCTTCAAGCCGGTGCCGATGTTCGTGGAGATAACCCACCACCTGTTAGCATTGGATGCACCGTCGTGTGTCCCAGACATGATCGACCATCTCGTACCAGTGCTACAAGAGTCAGGAGATATCAACGGGGTCCCTCGTTTCAGAAACTCGCCCGTGTCGCGTCAGAGCCTCGGCCAGGTACGGCAAACGCCGCTGTCCCAACTCGAAGCACTTGTGGATTCGACCGAAGCGCTAAGTCTGTTGTACCGCATGGCGTATCTGTGTATACACATGGAGCGGACGATGGAGAAGTTCTGGCGGCATATGCGCTACGACTTTGTCCTGATGATGCTGAATTGCTCACAACCTATTCGAGATATCATCTTAATGCTGAATCTGCTGTCCACGAGCATCCGAGCGGAGTCCTTTGGACCGGTCCAGGAGACCGAGCAAGATCAGCTTGCCAATGAGAATTACATTGTTGACCGTGTGGCCAACCTTTTGAGTGAGACACCCCAGCCGGATGAAGGGCAGCCCCCTTACACAGCGGCGGACATCTGCGGCATGCGCTTGCAGGCAATGTATTTTCTCACATTGGTAGCTTTCAATCCAGTCGCACCGGCCAGTGAGCACGGGAGCTCCGTCATTGCGCAGCACCCAACGGTGCTCGCGCGGATGATACGAGCCATGCATGACGAACTGGATGCGCTCTACACGTACCCGCCGGAGCGAGACCTCCATGCGTCCATGGTCAACGGCCTCATGCGCTTGGTCTACGGGGTCATCCGTCGTCATAAGAACGTGGATCTGCAATCAAAATTGTGTCGAGTGGCCGGTGGGAAGCAAAAGTTTCTAGTGGTGTTGACACGGTTGGCGTTCAGCGAAGGCCCGATACTCGAGGGCGGCATCGACGATGAGACGGTGGAGATGGCCCACGAGATCCTCGATGATGCCGTCAACCCTCAGGAAGCAGAAGCGCTCTTGGAGGCGTTTCCCAGTGCAAAGCGAGATGATTGACATGACTTATGTGTATGATGAATGTGCATATGATGTGAGGGACAATAATCATAACCGATGCGAAGTATATGTATGTGTATGAGTGCCGGGACAGTAGTTCCGGGGGTGTCACCACCTTAACAAAATACCCAAGAAAACTATGGTACATTAGCTAAGATAATATGTCTGTATTGTACGGTGTGAAATACTCAAAAATGATACATTTCATATACCCATGTATATAGCTCGACTTGATACATAAACATCGTATGTCGTACGTGATATGGACAGTTTGGCTTGCGACCAGCCATCTCCACGATCAGACCTTCTCGACAAACTCCTCACATCTCTTCTCGTCGCCCGCATATCCACCGTTCTCAATCTCCATCTTTTGGATTTCAGCATTGAAGTGAGCCATGCGCTTGGCAAACTCCTTCTCCTCATCCCAGACGAAGGGGCTCTTGCTGGCGAACAGGAAGTCGATCTGCTCGAGCGTGCGGCCGGCAGTCTCGGGGAAGAAACAGTAGATGATGGGGATGTAGGCGAACATGGCGGCACCGAAGACGTAGAAGGTCTGAGAAAAAAAAGAAGTCAGAAATGAAATGAAAATATGGGAAAGGGAGGATAGAACGAACCTTTTCGTGGATACCGGCAAACATGACCGGGACCAGCAGCGACCCAGCGCCGTAGCCGACCGCCCAACCCGCAACACCGAAGGCGTTACCCTTGGCGCGCAGCCATGTCGGGAAAATCTCGGTCGGATAGATGAAAGGAATCATCAACCAGGAGGAGCTGAAGACAACCACGTAGAGGAAGACCATGGCGGCGGCTCCGGTTCCGTACTGTTCAGCCTTGTCGGGGTTGTTGACGGCTCCACGGTTCAGACCACCACTGGAGGAAAGTCAGCAGGAGCAACGTCAAGGACGAAATGGTTTTGTACTCACAGGGTAAAGAGAATAATACTCAAAACGACCGCTCCCCAGTAGAGGGTCCGGCGACGACCCACTCGGTCCAAGGTCAAGGCAGCGATACCAGTTCCCAGAATACCGCAGGTCATGCACGTAGCAGACAGCCAGTTGGACTTGAAATCATCAAAGCCAGCAGTGCGATAGATGTTTCCCGAGTAGATGACAACCGCCGCGATACCCGTGCCGTATTGCATCAGAACCTGGAGCCAGAAGGCCAGTTGGATACGACGTCCAATGTGAATATCTCCCGATCCAATGCCCAAGAACATTTTGATATAGCTGGAGTTCTGCGACTCCTGTTCCATCTGCACGACAGCGACGATCTCGCGAATTTCTTTCTGCACATTCGGGTGGTCGCGGTCGCCATCTCCACGGAGCTTGGTGATAATCTCGAATGCCTCCTCGTTGCGTCCGACCTTGACGAGCCAACGAGGCGATTCAGGAATGAGCAGGGTGCCGATGACGAGGAAGAAAACCGGGATCGCTTGGCAGGCAAAGCAGAAGCGCCATCGAAAGGCGCCACCGGCGTATTCGGTGAAGGAGGTAGCGAAGCCAATCCAGGAAGACAAGGCAATGCCTCCAAAGTTGGCGAGGAAAGTCAGGGCGATCATTTGACCTCGATGGGCCGCTGGAGCCAGCTCTGCGGTCCACGAGGGAGCAATAACGATAATGAAGGAGACACCGACACCCGCGACGACACGGGCGCAGAGCATGTGAGCAAGATTCACGGCACTAGCCTGCAGGATGGCTCCGACAAGACACCAGACGCAGGCCATCCAGATACCCTTGATACGTCCGTAGGCGTCGGAGAAACTACCGGCCCAGAAAGCTCCGAAGAGAGCACCGAAATAGTACATGGCAGCGATGCCACCCTGCAGAGAGGGCTTGATGACTTTTCCATGCTCATCGGCGAAGCCCATACGATGCTGCAGTTGTGATATTCGATTAGTTCACGATTCCGATTCTTTGGGGGATAATGGCTCAGGAGGACTGCGGTACATATACATACTCCAAATTCTGGGGCGACAGTGACAGCGCCCATGACACCCTGACTCATGCCCTCATAGGAAATGGCCACGGCAGAGACTGCAGTAATCAACTTGAGCAGTCTAGGTCCAGGGACCGTCTTCCAGAAACCTTTCTGCATCATGGTGAATAAACTTGAATGAGGGAATATATAATGTGGAGAAACCAAGACTGTGAGAGTCAACCCCAGATAAATGATAGAGAGAAGATCATAGTTGTATCAGGGAGACATGGGGATGTTTATAGGTAGATGATGAGTAGTTTCCATCCATGATGGGGGGGGAGAGAGGCAAACCCCGTGGGGAGAGGAACACTAGAAATTAGGGCTCTATCTGTCATGACAGGAATGGAATCACTCCAAACTCAAAAAACCTCGGGGGCTTTTTCCTTCTCCGTCTCCGCCTCCACCACCATAAATCCCGAGTTCTCTTCCCACTACTTTCTCTTAATCCTGTCTCCTGTCTCCTGTCTATTCTCGTCTCGATATTCCTTCTTCGAGATAGACTTACCTCGCTACTACCGTTCCACCATTTCGACATGGGAAAGCTTCGCTCAAAAGATGGATGGTCAGTCTTCCCCGCCATCATTTCCCTACACTACACGAGCTGCACACTTCTATATCTCATGCCTTGGGACGGTTGTGGGGAAGGTTGCCAAGCAGAACTATTGACTGTGTGACCGCTGGTGGAGAAAGTGTCCAGGCTCTGTCTTTGTCGTGATTTTTGCTAAGTTTCATCACAGCCTAACTTGCCGGAAGAGGCATGTCAAATGTATGCCACTGAACAGTTCAATATAGGCTGAATGGAACGGCTTACCCGAGAACAGGCGACCAAGTCAAGCCGATCTGTTCGCAGTGCCAGAAAAAGAACCGGCCATGTCTTCGAGAAGATCCATCTAATCGCATCAGGATCAAGCCTTATCAACCACGAAAGGCCAGGAAAGACCCCAAGGATGCTCCTGGCCATGACCATGATAAAATATCTCACCTTCCGGAACACGGAGCTGCAGACGCAGTGATTGCTAATGCAACCAGCCCTGAACACATTACCAATCCAATCTCTGCTGAATTCTGCAATAACCAATACCACAATGCCTCGGTGACATCACCATACAACACACAAGGATCTACTATCCTCCCGAAACTCACCAACGACTCTGTTCCCGCGCCTCTGATGGTCTCTCCAGTCAACAATACCACTACCTCACCCTACTTCAGCGTGGTGGGAATCCCGATCTCCCACCAGCTCCGACCGGAGCCCACAGGTGCGATACATGCAGGGTCTCCACTGACCTACAGAGAAGCTTACCTTGTGCATCACTTTGCAACGCACCTCGGGTATTGGCTCGACTGCACCGACGCTTCCCGCCAGTTTACCCGGAAAATCCCCATCCTGGTCAAGCAATCGCCGATCCTGCTGCATGCCGTACTTTCCTACGCGGCCCGGCACGTCGGGGATGCCGAAATGGCCGAGCAGGCGCATGAGCGTTGCGTAGAATTATTGATTCCGTCCCTGAGCTCGGAAACGGTGGCCGACGATGATATTCTGCTGTGTGCCATTGTCATCCTGCGGGTGTTTGAACAGTTGAACGGTAAGTGAGAAAGTTTCGAGCCGATGCCCAGGCTAACTTCCTTGGGACTGAAACAGTCATGGTAACCGGGAGCGATCAGGAGCGTCATTTAGCCGGCTGCTCGGCTCTGCTCCGGGCGTCGCAAGGACGGGAGGTGGATCCATCGACCCCGGGGTTGCGGCAGGCGGCTTTCTGGGTGTACATGCGTCAGTGCCTGTACAATGCCTGTGTACATCAGCAGGCTCCCAATGTGGATTTGAACTTGGTTCTCATCCCTCCCCCGGGCGGAGGTGACCCTCTGAGCGATCTGAGGTCGGAAACAGCCTGGGCCAACACTATGACTTGGATCTGTGCCACGGTGGTACACTTTTGCTTTGGATCGAGTTACCCTGAGCCCTCCACCAGAATACGCCGATGGCAAGAGCTGTCCGCGGCCGTCGAGAATTGGTTGAGCACCCGACCAAGTACATTTGACCCAATCTGGTATAGCGAAGCCGTCCCCGGGAGTGGAAACCCATTCCCAGAGATATGGTTCACGGCGGACTGGCATAGTATGTCTGCCAAAAGTCTTCTACTTTGCGCTGTCTAATGTTGTTTGTAGTTATGGCATTCGGATTCTATCATCTCGCCTGTATGCTCTTGGCCATCTACAAACCATCGCCTAAATTTGCAGTCAGGGGGCTACATAGCACCGCTCGTGAGTCTGATGTGAGTTCTGGTTTTTGCTGTCGTGCGAATAATGAGTTCTCGTTGACGCCATCAGATCCGAGTCATGATGCACGCTCGCGCAATCTGTGGGGCATGCAACAGTTCCCCTTCGACGGTGCCATCGTTGATCACGCTCTGTCATTCCACCTTTATTTGTAAGACATGTCCAGGGTCCGTGTGGGATGCAGTTACTGACATCGACAGGGGGTCCCTTGATGACAGATTCAGCAGAAAGGGCTGGAGTAATTAGACTGCTGCGAGATATGGAAGCGACGCATGCATGGCCGACGACTTGGATAATCAATTCTCTAAAAGAAGAATGGGCGATGACGTAACCCGTTCACAATGCCCACATCAAAAGTAAAGGGCATTTATCTATGCGACAAAGGAAATCATCGACCCTCATTGAACGATACCACGGCATACTTTCCGTTCTGGATCCAGGCACCACCGGGCGCCTCCTCGTTTAACGCGTCAACCTTGCTCTGGGTCGGGACACCAACGCAAACGTCGGACTTGTTCGTGCGAAGGGCCAAGATTTTGACGCCGCTCTGCTTGCCTAGGGGACCCAGAGCCTCCTCGTATGTGGTGGTGTGAGGCCACAGCCCATCCCTGGTCAGTTTGCGGTAGTTGAGGTCGCCCTTGAAGATGACCAAGTAGCTGTTCTGGAGCTCCTTGAAGAGGGCGGGTGCCTTGGATGGCATCTCGTGGAATGAGAACGGCGTCGTCCAGAAGGGGTCGCTAGTGGTCGCGATGGCGCCCGACTGGAAGAACTTGCGGAGTCTCGGGATGAGTTGGTCGAGATACTCGCGACCTGGGAAGCATTCGGAGGAATCAAGATGCTCGAACAGCGATTCGACATCCGGGGGAATGACATCGCTGACGAACCACGGGAACTCCTTGGTATGCAGTCTGACCGAGGTAGCAATGCCTGCGTCCAAAAGATAAGCGGCATAGAGCACATCAGTGAAGAACTCGAAGCCAGCGTTGTCGAGGACAATGTCAATCTGGCGACTAGCCTGACCGGCAGTGCGCTGAAGATAGGTCCAGACGTCGTCAGTGTCGTTGTCGACGATGTTCCGCTGGCTCTTCTGGATGGCCTCACGGCCCTGCAGGTTTTGCAAGTCCTCCAGGGTCAGGTTAGCGAGGAGTGACAGGTCTGTGGCGTTTCCCCACAGGGCGATCTCCGTCATCTCGATAAACAGCAACTTCTTGGCCTCTTCCTTGCTCTCCTTTTGGGCGAGTTGAGTATCGGCAACGATCTGCATATAACGGCTGGCGAGCTCCTCGACTGCGGCTCTCGACTTGACAAAGGTAGAGTCTTTCTGGCGCTTGAAAACATCGTAGTTCTGCCAGTGTTTGGAGGAGTTCAGGATCCTCTGGATGCTTCTGGAGGGATTTTTCAGCGCAATTCCTCGATCCGATCTTTGCAGCAATAGTCGTCGTACCTGTACATGTAGCACTCTCCAAAGAGCCAAGGGCAGTTGGTCCAACTGCACTCGCCAATGGCAGCCAGCTGCTTGTTCCACTCTTGAATATCGAGCTTGCCGTCATCTGGCAGGGGTCTGAAGCGCCGTGAGTCCCTGTGTTCTGGTTCTTGGAGAAGAAGTACGTACGTGAGGGGCTTATTCTGTTCAATGCCTTTCTTGATGTCCTTCAGGGCAATCTGAATGGCTATGCTCTCCGCTCTCTTCTGGCCGTCAACATCCTCCGCGGCGGCTGTTTCGCCAATGTCGTCGATGGTGCCCTGGATGATTTTGGGCCATCGGGTCTCGGCCGTCTGTTTAGCCATTGACCCCTGGTCTGACGTCCAAACTGCACGGACTTGTTGAGCGTTCATGGTGGCGGAAGGCATGACGATATGACTCTGACAGATCCGACTGGATAAGGTCAAGGTCTCAAAAGCTAAGGAAGCAGTGACAGCAGACTTAGGGGACTCTTTATGTATTCTTCTTCCAAGACAAATTGCAAGGATCGTCCCCACCTGGTCACCAGAAAAAGTCGCAGAGCTCGGGATCCGCTGAGTCTGACCACCATCTATGAAACCCCTCGACGCGAATACGGGAGGACCTCGGCTGCTGCCTCCCCGATCTAGGGAGGTTAAACGGCCTGAGACTGACGCTTAAATGGCTCTCCAGGTTTTCGCAATCCCGGGGATGGGACGGTCTGTGCACCTCGTCTCGAAGATACCCAATTAGGCAATTCTGGCTTGCAATGTCGGCCTCGGAATCGGGATGGAGCTCGCAAGTGCATCCCGAATCCTCACTTCTCAACATTTTCTCGTGCGCATGACCGCACGCTTTTGGATTATGAGGGGTTAGTGGGGTCTTCTTGGCTGTCCAGCAGGAATGGGGGTTAGATTTCCAAAGGTATATGAAGCGGTTCTTCGCTCCTCTGCATTACTGTTGGAATCCAAATCATTGAGTTTCAATCTTGTATATACACATTACAAAAATGGTCACTTCAGTGGAATTTTCTGAGCCCAATGGCGCTGCTCACGTCAACGGCCCTCACCGTTGTGTCGCCGATGGTACCCTCGACATCACAGTCATGGGAATGAACAGCGGTACGGCCATGGACGGCATTGACTGCGCCCTTGTTCGTTATCGCCAGGCTTCTCCTGAAGCTCCTTTGCACATGGAGATCCTCAAGGTACGACAGCTCTCTAGTGGTCTTTTATGATTCAGCTTCAGTGGAACTGACAAATCGCCCTTGTACAGTACGACGAGATCTCCATCCCTCAGTACATCAAAAAGCCCGTCCTCACCATGCTCCGCGAAACGAAAACCACTCCCTCCCTCATGTCCCAGCTGAACGTCCAGCTCGGTACCATGTTCGGCGAGACCGTCAAGCTCTTCTGTGAGAAGCACAACGTCCCCATTAACAGCATCGACCTCATCGGCTCCCACGGTCAGACTATCTGGCTTCTCTCCATGCCCGAGGAGGGCGAGACCCGCTCCGCCTTCTGCCTTGGCGAGGGAACGGTCATCAGCGGCTTGACCGGCATCACTACAGTCACCGACTTCCGCATGGCTGAACAGGCGGTCGGCCGCCAGGGTGCACCTCTTGTCGCTTTGATCGATGGTCTCCTTCTTCACCACCCCACCGAATGGCGCATCTGCCAGAATATCGGCGGTATCGCTAACCTCTGCGTCATTCCACCCGACAGCGAGGGTGGCGTCGACGCCATGGTCGACTGGGACTGCGGCCCGGGCAACATGTTCATCGACGCCGCGATGCGCTACTTCACCAACGGCGAGATGGAGTATGACCGCGATGGCGAGTGGGGTGCGCAGGGTACTGTCAACCAGGCAGTCGTCGACAAGTTCCTCGACAACAATAAGTACTGCAACCACCTGCCTCCCAAGACGACAGGTCGTGAGACATTCGGCGACAACGAGGCCCAGGAGATCATCGACGAGTGCTTGGCTCTGGGCATGAGCAAGTACGACACCGTCGCCACCATCACCCGCATCACCGCCCAGAACATCGTCAAGCAGTACCGCACTTTCTTCCCCAACTTCAACATCGATATCGACAAGATAGCCGCTGTCTACATGTGCGGTGGCGGTGCCCGCAACCCCAACATCATCAACTACCTCAAGGGGCAGCTGCCCCGCTTGGAGATTCTCAAGCTCGATGAGACGGGTGTTCCTTCTGATGCCAAGGAGGCTGTCTCGTTCGCTCAGCAGGCTCTTGAGGCTATTCTCGGCCGTGCCGCTCTGGTTCCCATTAACAGTGACACGTTGACGCCCAACACCATCTCGGGTAAGATTGCGCCGGGATTGCGGTGGAGAGAGGTTATGGCGATGGCCGTGGAATTCGGAAAGGGTCGAGCTCGGTTGCCGACGGTCAAGGAGATGGTTATTGACCGGCCCTACACCTACGGGAAGCCTTAGAAGGGTATGGCGGTGCAACGGTCTATTTTTGTATGATTAATTACTTGCATATAAGGGTTTAGCAATGGCTTCATTCCAATCTAGCATTTTTAGCGACTTTGCAGTGTCTTTTCTGGTTGAATCTCCTCGTGGCCCTGTCAAGTGAAAATGCAGTGTACCACCGTTTAGTGGGTGATGGACGGTGGTATGTCTCAGGACTGTGCAGAACAAGAGGGACAGCCTCAATCGATGCAGGCCTTATCCTTATCCAAGCTTATCTTGAATTCTTATTATAGCTTATCAGGGCTCATCGTGAGCATCCCCTGAGCAGACCATTCCGCGCATCATTGTGCTGCACACACGTAAAAGCAGCAACATCTCAAACTGTGTCCTTTAGAATCCTGCCGAAGGAGCTTGGCTATAGGATCAAACTCGGAAATAAGAAAATGAAAACAAAATCATGCTAGCGGGGGAATGTCGGTGATGACCGTCACAGAGTTAACAGCTCTGAGCAAACTACAGTACAGTGGCTTGCACAATTACCCTGCCCATCCTGACTCCCAGATATTTTTATCCAAGCCCTAAGCCGTTGAACACACTAGACCCTGAGTGTACACAACTCTACATGACAGCTCACAGAGAAACTTGGACCAAAGCCACCCTAGGGTAATCTTCGCCCAAACTCGAGGATGGATTCACCAAAACGCATTGTTTTAAGGCTCCGCTCGAGAGAGTTTGACAACAGTTCACCACAGGAAATAATCAGGATCTCCCAGCATTTCCTCTCGTCTTCTGGTTACGATAGAACTTCCCAAGACAATTATTTTGTTCACGCGGAGCCCCCCCCAGCCCGAACCTCGACGGCATTTCCATATTACTATTGACATTAACTATCGAAACAACGCCCCCGACATGCAAACTTTGCCTTTTGAGTTCTTCAGGGTTAACCAAAAGCTGTGAGGGACCCCCTCTGCAACATCCTCTGTCAGGAATCTAACTAGTCGTAGTGAATTTAAGCCCCTAGAGCTCGGACCATTGGAGACACAATATCGCCAACTTGTAAACGGGTTTTACCCGTGGGGAAGAGACGGACAATAGGATAATGGCGAAGTTAAAGAAATGATTGCTATATTGGTGAACTGCTGCGGTGGTGAAGTCGAAGCATCAGCTGTTCTATTCCTGTTGGAAGCGTCGTGTAAATAGGTGTCGGTCAGACAACTATATTCTTCTTGTCTAAGACAGATAACCCAGGTCGCAACCATGGGTGATCAGATCCCATGGGCATAATGACCCAATGACATTTCTGTATTCTCTTGCAGCTATAGACCCACGACACTGTACTGTATAGTACATCTACACAACGTCTCAGCTAGACTTCATCGATAATGACACCTGCATGCTGAAAGTGAATTAGATTCAAATCCGGTGAATACGGTGGTAGATACACCATCTTGACTCCTTTCTCTGAGCATAACTGCTGTATCCGCTCAGAATGATGGAAGGAAGCATTGTCCATCATAAGAATAGACTTTTTGGCCGGGTATTTCCCACAATGCTCAAGGAGCTGTTTGATAAAATCCTCAAAGACAGCAGCATCTGTTGTGCCTTTACAAATGCGGGACAGGATGATTCCATCCTGATTCATTGACATAGACTAAGTGATATGACTTAAATTCAGAGATCTCATGAAAATACTTGTCTTGTAGATCAGGGTTCTGTTCTTTTGCTCTCTGCTGAATTGTCTTTTTAGACCAACTAATTGAAGAAAGCGCCCTGCTTATGCTGCTAGTTGTCACCTGAAGGTTGAACTTGTCCCAGAGGGAAATGGCCATCTCATCTAAGTACAGTACAGACCTGGCTTCTTAAGAAGGTGATCGCATAGAGCTTCCAACATAGGTGGCGTGATAATTCTCATCCGCCTGACTTGAATTGGCGGTGCTCTAGGCGAACTGAGGTTGGAGCAGATACATTTGACTGCCTGCTTGCTGCATTCAGCAGTGTCAGCAGTCTTGGATATAGACATCCCACTGCTTGTCAAGTCACAGATAAGCTGGATTTTTGACGGTGATAGATGTGGTGCCATTTCCTTGATTATGGCTGGTTGACCTACAGTACATGGAAGTTGATTATGCGAGGAGAGGACGAAATAAGGACACCATAGCAAGAACAGCCTTTTCAAGTAGATACCGTCTTTTTACGATTGCCCTTTGTCATGGATTGTTCATTACCTAGTTACCTTTTTCCGTGTAAAGTTTCAGGACTTGGCGCAGATCGCCTAACTATATACGTACTAGACTTCTTGGCATAGGGTTTGGGAATGAATCTGGAAAATTAAAGGTGGGCAGGGTAATTGTGCAAGCCACTGTATATAGTTTCGGTCATCGGATTGAGATGGAGAGACATTTTCGAGCTCAACACCGGATTCAAGACCACTTTGTGCTATTTTTGAACACATGTCAGTTCAATAAATGGTATACTACGAGAAACAAGGTTTTTATACACATCTCCGGTTTTGTTGGTGGAATATGCTCTGGTTTTTGTCGCAGGAAATGGGAAAAAAGATGAAAGATGTAGGTGGTAACACCATTTCCTGGAAGTACTGTACCACTCCGTACGTACATGACAAGAAACAAGTGTTTCAGACACGCAAGGTTTTACTGATTCTATGATAAAAGCTATCTAAGGTTCCAAGTTCCCACCTCTCTTCTCCATACCCCCGCGCAAGGCGAAGAAATGATGAAAAGAGAATGATCCACAGGGTGGAAAGTGCCAAAGAATACGCCTGTCAATGACCCGAAGGCCGTTGAACGGATTGTTCCGCCGCGCTGTGCAATGCAGGGACCAATCCGTGGTGGACCGCCTTCTTGATCGCAGCCACCCAAACAAGGTAAGTATGAAGAAAAGAAAGAAGAAAAAAGTAAAAGGGCAGAGGGGGAAGCGGCCTTATATAAGTTGCTGTGGATCCGGGCTCCAACGCTAGTACTAAGCGAGGTGCTTCCCGCCAATCGCAGGGCAGGTGCTCGCTGGTCCTTTATGCCTGATGGCTAAGGCAGAAAGCTAAATATCATGTGATACGTACATCACGTGCCTCTTGTGAAGTTTTGGGGTCTCAGTCCGCTCATCGTTGATACTGAAGGAGGATTCGTTGCAGGTCAATTCCAACGGCACACTCTCCATCATGAGGAACAGGGCTACTACGCCGTTGAGCAAGGCGGTATGTCATTCCTGTTCACCCGATATTACCAAGATAACAACATCCCCTTTATCGGTTGAAAAAATCCTAATGGAGCTTGGTACTAGAAAATCCGACAATCATGGAGCAAATATAATTTGTTCAACCTGAGTCGATTCCGCGCCCCTCCCACCGCATCCCGGACCTTCTTCCAACAGAAATGGACTGCCAAGTCCGTCGCCCGAGCATACCATGGTGAACAGGTCCGCGAAAGTCAATGGGCACGGATGTTCACGCGCCGCATCCGTAGCGTCGTGCCCATGAGCCCCAAGAAATTGGCCAGCGATGACGGCTCTGCAATGTCCGCCGGTCGAGGAGCGGGCCTGGAGTCTGAAGGGAACGGCGATGACACAGCCGGGGCCAAGGACCAGACATCCTTGACACCCTTTACACAGATGACTTTTGCTCCTCTAGAGCGTCGGCTGGATGTCGCCATCTTCCGGGCCATGTTCGCTAGCAGTACTCGGCAGGCGCGGCAATTCGTTGTGCACGGTGCGGTGACGGTTAATGGCAAGAAGGTATTGCTTCTTCATCTTGTGGTGATCTCGTCTTGCCGGATTTGGCGGCTGACATTGTCACTGAAATAGATGAGATACCCCGGTTACCTCCTGAATCCTGGCGATCTTTTCCAGGTTGAACCGGAGCGCGTCATGTATGCTACCGGTGCCCCCAAGGACAAGTTTGAACGTCGAGAGTCCCGTGTCGCCAGGAGAAAGTCGGCAGAGTCGAACGAGGGCGAAACAGAGGCGGAGGGTGCGGCTGCAGAGACGGAGGACAAGAAGGACGAGTCGGAGACAACAGCAGCCCAGGATCAGCAAAAGGATGACCCGAAGGAAACATTGAAGACGCTGCTCACTCAGGCCAAGACGATCATGTCCAGCAACAAGGACGTTCTCCCCGCCAAGCGCAAGCAGGAACTGCGCGGCTTTCAGAAGGCCGTCCGGAGAGTGCTGTCTCGTTCCGAATCCAGCACCGTCTTGGCCGATAACCTCGAGTCTCAGTTCTCTGAGCTCATCACCTTGCTGAAGGCCAAGAAAGCCGAGAAGAAGAAGGGAGGCAAGGAATCAGAGGAGACTTCATCTACGCCCGCAGAGCAAACGTCGACCACCGCTCCCGAATCAACAGACGCCACTACTACTACTACCGCGACATCTGCTGCCGAGAACCAGCCCAGCGACAAGCTTTCCGAAGCTTTCCAGAAGGCGGCTCAGAACCCCGATGAAGAGGTGGACACATCAGAGCTCACAGAGGAGGAATTCGAAGTGCTCCGGCGGGCGCTGATTCAGATGCGCGATAATCCGATCGACCACAGCAAGCCCTACGCTACCCCTTGGCGACCACGCGACTACATGAGTGCTTTCGCCTTCATCCCCCGATACCTGGAGGTCAACCACAACATCTGCGCAGCCGTGTACCTCCGGCATCCCGTGGCGCGGCCAGGCCGCACAGAGGTGCCAACCCCCTTCAATGAGAATATCAGTACAGCTGCGTTTGCCTGGTATCTCCGAAGACGGTAGACGGATGGGCTAGTGATACATTTCCTCTTTGGCTTTACTCTGTATTTTATCTTCTGCTGGCATGTTCATCATCTTGTATTACTGGGTCTCCGGTGTGATTTCCTACTTGTTACGGTGCTCATAGATGTATCTGCCTTGTGGTTCCCGGGAAGGGCGAGCAAAAGTGTCATGTTGCAATGGTGTTGGAAGCCTGCTTTACCTGGATGAGCCACATCTGTACAATCAATATCCCCTGAAATTGTAAATGCATTAGTCAACCTCTCTTCCTCATT